AAGTTGGTGTAATGATGAAAAACGTAGTATTATGTAATGGTACTATATTTACAAAAAATGAATGAATAAATAAATAAGAAGAAGGAAAGATAAATAAAAAAAATTATTGTTTATTGCTTGTGTTGTTTCTTCTTTGTTTTATTGTTTGTGCTTTGTTAATCTCAAAATTCTTTTTCTTTTATTTTGAATGTTGTGCCATTACCAGCCTTTGTGTGTCAGATCATGTGATGATCCTTATGTAATTCTAGGCGTTTCTCCTAGTGCTTCTCAACAACTCATCCACTCTCGCTTTCTTGAACTGACTAAGCAACACCATCCTGACACTCACCCTGGTGACTCTCATTATGCAAAAATCACTCGTGCTTACTCTATCCTCACTGATCCTTCTCGTAAACTCAAATACGACTTATTGAGGTCATCAAAACCTGTTCATCTCAACTATACATCAAAAAGCAAATACATTATTGATGTTGGAATTGCATCCTGCCTTCCTTCTGTTTTAACTCCTTCTTCTGTCTCTTCTCCAATTCTTCCCCCTTCTTGTGCTGGTGTGACTGGTCTTCTTCTTGCTCTCCATCCTATTGCCCTTTCTTTTCTTCGTCATAAACTTTCATGCTTTGATTTCTTCAACCTCTTTGCTTACAACGCCTTTGGCTGGTTAGTGCGTCCAAAAATTGCCTGTCTTTCTAACCGCTACCTTATTACAAACCTATTCCCTGATGTTCTTGTCATCGATGATAAAACTTGCAAAACTGGTAGCAACGACCTCTTAACATTCGATAACGCTGCAAACTTCAATGGAATTCTCAATGGCTCAATTTCCCACCAACCACACCTTCTCTTTGACTGCAATACCATCAGCCTCTCACCACCGTCTCGTTCCTTCTCTTGGATTAAACTCAAACTTTACCCATTTACTCTTAACTTCTTTTCTTATGATGGTTTTCTTCTTGGCTGTGTCTTCTCTTTCAACCTCTTTGGTTTCTCTTCTTTCTTCTCTCTCTTTAATACTACTGACCACAACAAAATCGTTCTTTCTCTTACTGCCGCTCTTTCTCATCTCTTCTAACTCTTTTTCTTTTTTAGGTTCATACTTTGTTTAGTTTTTAAAATAAACTATCTAGAAAACTAAATTAAATGATTAGAACAATAACCAAAAATAAAAACAGAATAGCGATTTTGTTTGAAGAATTTTCACTATCTTCTTCTTCTCCAATACACTGCTTTCGTTCAGGTTTATTTGTTTTTATTTCATAGCTTTTTTCATAAGTTTTTAAGGGATTAGAAACTGTGAATATGGTAGACGATTGTTCATCTACTGATATGATTATATCATCGTTCATTTCATAATACTTAGTGTTGTTAATTTTGTCATTGCATCTTTCAGTTGTAAAGATGCTTTCACTTACCTCAGCCATTCGACTAACTGAAGCAGGATTTGGAAGGTTATAAGTATTTAATTCCCCACAAGAAATTACTGACACAGTTGGAGTTAAAACACTAAGCCAACCAGCGGTATTCGATGTTTGAGACCCATGATGATTAGCATGCATAACATCAACAGATCCAACAATGTCTTTGACTGTATTTTCAACATCATTAATAGAATTATCAAAACTCCTTGAGTAACTACCGTCCAAATCTCCACTAGTTACATATACAAAATTACCAAATTGGATTCTGATACCAATTGAATAATCATTTTCACTTGGTGCGGGAATTTCTCCTTTATGATTTCCACTAACTGTTGTATTATCTTTCTGCAGCACGCCTAAAGCATCTCTTATAAAAATTTCTACTTGAGTGTCAGGGTCTGGTGGATTAATTTGTTTATGTGAACATAATTTAGCTACTTCCCTAATTGAACTTACATTAGTTTTATCAATAAGACTAGATGAATAACAAGCCCATTTTAACATTGAACTTGAATACTCTCCAACATTATTAAATTGGAACGTTTCTGCAGTGCAATTAATATTTGAAGAACCATTATATAAACCAAAATCTCTTTCAATGTATTTCCCAGCAGTAAATCCAAGCTCTTCAAAAAGATACCACAACCCATTCCGTCCATAATACCCATAATGGTCCACATGAAGGTGGGTTAATACAACAACATCTAGATGTTTGGAAGGCAAGAGTTTTTCTAATTTAGATGCTACATACTTCACATTAGTTGGTTCATAATCTTTAAGATTTTCCCCAAGATCAATTAATACAGAGTAACCACTAGGAAACAATATCAGTTGAGAGTCAGCTTGTCCAACATCAAAGACATGAATCTCTAACTTTGCAAGACAAATGGTTATAATCAAAAAGAAAAGCATAATACTCTATTTTTGTGTTTTTTTTTTAATTATTTTTCTTTTCAAGTAAAAATTCTATTTAAAAAAATCTTGTAAAAATGAGATATTCTAAAATTAACTTTTACTCAAATAAATCATTCCGTTTTTTTTCTTTTTTTAATTAATAAAAAGAAAAACAAAAAACAGTCAAATTCATAGAACTCAAGTTCAAGCCATGCTTTTGGTTCGTCTTAAAGAAACAGAAGGGTTAGATGGTTGTTTTGAAGTATTGAATTTAATGTCTTTAATTGAATAAGAAGATGGATTTTTCATATAATCAGAGAGTTGTTGAGGAGTGAGGTTATATTTTTGTTCAAGAACATTCTTTGATTCTTCAAATCCCTATAAGTTATGAGTCTTCATTTAATTCCATAATTGAAATACATTATACAAACAGAACAAATTAATGGATATAATCCAATTAGTAAGGTCATAATTTGTATTTCAGATTCAATATTTTTTTCAGTAGTAATCATATACGTGATTTCCTGTGAAAAAAACGATGGAGCAACACATATACTAAGCCTATCTAAAGAATTACTAAGTAATTACAAAATCATAAAAAAGGAAAGTAACAAACTGAAATCCATTTTATTGATTTCTTTTTGTTGAGTAATAGAATAATATAGATTTAGCATAAATATTAAATACCTTCGTTTAATTGGATCAATTCTTCGAATTGCTAATGCTAATGCAGTAACAGTTTTAGGTAAATCATTAATTTCTTTAAATTGGGAAATAGCTGATAAAAACATATTTCTATCTGAATATGAAAAAATTGGAGATGGAAGGTCTTTTAAAAATGATGTTATTATAGAGGAAAAACAATACATGTCTGATGCAAATTTTTTGTTTTGGGTAATATCTATTTTCTTATGAATGTCACTTTTCATCTTTTGTACTTCTTTTATATCTCCTGTTATTCTGAATATACCTTCACATGGATCTATTGAATTTATGGATCAAATATTCTTTAATAATTTATATAAATGAATTAACAAACTATCTAATAAGGCTCTTCCAATTTCCCATAAGAACAAAGGGATACCATCTTTTAAATATGATGGAGGTATTTCATTTAATTTAGTTTGAAATGGTTTAGCTATCAATAAATATTAATATAATGAAATTAAAAAGTAATAACAACAATTTTATTTATTTTAATATACAAACGTGCTTTCTATGAGATAAGTATTATAAGAAGTAAATCTTTTAAATCAAAAAAGTGATATCCACAAACTTTTGTTTTCATGAAAACAATAAATAGAACTACATTTTTTATTCTCAATTTTTTAAGATTTTTTTTAGAGATAATTCTAAAAATAAAATATCTTAAAATATTTATTAATTAAATCTTTTAATAATCATTTATTTTTTTATTTCATTCCATTTGGTGTTAACCATTCAACTACTTCTTGTTGATTTAAATTTATACAACTCTCATTAGAGGGCCATTTCATTTTAAGTCGGTTTAGTGTTTGGACAATCACTTTAGCTCTACCAAAATCATTAGTTTGTTTTAAAGCGTCAATGTATTTATTCATTGTTTGTTTAAATACTTTTTCGTCCCACTCATTGAATAATTGCATTACAATAATTTCAAGCTCAACTTTCCTTTTTTCATAAATTGAAATATTTCTTCTTTTTTCATCTTCTTGAATAAGACAACGTATTATTTTGTATGATCCTTGATGTACAAGAACATCCATTTCATTATCAAATGAAACAATAATATTTTTATGATTTATGAATTGAATGTTTGTTGGTTTTTTATTTGATAATTGAGTTAATAACATTTCAATATTTACAACTTTAATTAATTCAAATTGATCATTATATACTTTTACTATTCCATTACATTCTAATACAACTAAATATCCTTCATTATAAAAAGCATTATAAATAATTCCATTATTCATTAATGGAACATTACAAATACTTCCACTAAATGAATCAAGAAGTATAATTATATTTTCTTTTGAAACTGTAATAACTTTATTACCATAACAATTAAGTACTACCAATTCATACGGTAACGCTGCCTCCCAATACATAATATCTCCTATTATTTTAATACATTTTAAACATGTAAACATCTTTTTTCCATAAGTCGTGGGTATTCCTTTAATAATAACTCCACTTCCATTTTGATCTCTTGAATTACAACTTAATGGTTTAACAACTGGTTGTTGTAATATAAATTGTTTTTCTTCATTTATACTTAATTCTAATTGATGTACTTTTTGACTTATTTTTTCCCAATCAATTTTTTCTATTCTTTCATTTAACCATTTAATTTTTTCTTCTAATAGATCGATTTTTTCTAATTTCTTAATATTTTTATTAAATTCCATTTTATCTATTTTCTCTAATCGTTCAGCACGTTCTCTTTGTAATTGTTGTTCTCTACTTTCATCTTTTATTTCTTGTTTTTTTATTAGAGGGTTTGTTGTAATTCCATTTGATTTAATTGGTTCATTCTTTTTTATTTCAGGACGTTTTATATCAATTTTTTTATTGTTATTTTTTTTTAATTCTTTTGACTGTTTTATTTTATCAAACACTTCTAATTGCTTTCTTTCTTCTTCAGTTAATCCGTCGTCAGTAATTTTTCTTTTTCGTTCTTCATTTTCTTCTTCTATTTTTTGTTTTTCATCTTCCGGATTTAATAATTCTTCACTTTCTTCTTCACTTAATTTTGTTTTCATCTCCTTTCTTTTATCTCGTTCTAACTCTGCAATCTCTACTTCTCTTTGATAAATTGAATTAAGTAATTTGGTTTTAGCTTTTCCTTTAAGTACCTCTCCTTTAAGTTCTTCATTAGAATATTCAATGCATGCAAGAAACCCTTCTAGTCCAACAAGTAATACCATCTTTCCTTGATTTGCCCATGCAATGTCTTGAATAGAATTATCAAAGACATCAGTAACTAAACAAATAGAATCTATATCTTTCTTATTTTCCCAAACACAACAATCACCTCCCATTCCACCTGTAGCAAATGTACAAAACGCACTTTTTTTCTTCCCTCCTTCTTTTGTATATGTATAAATTTCTGGAGAAAATCTACTACATATTACTTCATTTAAGTGTGCTGTTAATAATTGTACTGTCCATTTATTTCTTCTAATCAATAACGCGACATGTCGTTTTTTACTTACTGCGCTTCCTACAACAATATTCATACCATCAGGGCTCCAACTAATTCTACTACTAAAATTTCCATGATTTGCTTTTTTATAAACATCTTCAATTCTAGCTATTTCTTCCAATGTCTTAATATCCCAGATAACAACTTTCTGAAAATCCATTGATACAATATATTCATTAATTGGATCCCATGCCACTCCAAAAACACTTGAATTATGACCTCTAAACACATCCTTAAGTTCCATTTTTGTAATATCCCATATAGTTACGGTATTATCAGCAGATGAAGATGCAAGAAATTTTCCATCAGGAGACCAACTAATGTCTGTAATCTCTTGTACATGACCTCTTAAATTTCCAATATTTAAATATTCTTCACAATAGACATTTCCTTCTTCATCTTTTTCAAATTCATCTTTCATTCCTTCACTTTTCCATAAAGACACAATTTTATCATCATTTCCAACTGCTAAAATTGTTCCATCAGGAGAAAAACGACAAATATTGACTGGTAGTGTTGATACATAAATCACACCATATAATTTTGGTTGAACTGTTTCATCTGAAAGAGCTTCAATATTCCATACTCTAACTTTTCCATCACCTCCTCCAGTAACAAATTTTTTTCCGTCAGGAGATGTATCAACACTAAAGATTGGACAACCTTCATGTTCAATCCAAAATGGACGTGTAAAACGAACCATATAATCAATTATATAATAAAAAGAGTTCTTTTCTTCTTTTTTATCTTTTTCAAAACAATTCTTTCAGAAACAAAAAGTGTTATTCGACAAATCAATAGACGATTACTTTAGCAAAGCTTTGTTGTCAATTTACCAGCTTTAATTGGAAGATTAAATCTCTTTGATGCAATAACTGGT